GGTCAATTTATGATTATAAGTATTTAGGCTGCATTCAAAAATACTCTATTTCTAGATGCATAATTAAGAAATGACCTTGTATCTTGTGAAATATTTACATTTTTAAGGATATAAGCTCACCCCGACATAACACTTATCGAGACCTTTCATTTGAGTACCCACATCAATTTTTCATATATTTTAATATATATATTATATATATATATCTGTATATATGAAAAATATATCAAAATGCATGTGGGTACTCAAACGAAAGCTCTCGATGAGTGTAATGACGAAATGAGCTTATATCTTAAAAAATATCAATAATTAAGAACTGACTTTGCTATTTTGTCAATTAATGATATTTTTGAAGATATAAGCTCACCCCGACATTACACTCGTCGAGACGTTTCATTTGAATACCCACATCAATTTTTCATATATTTTATATATTTATATATATTATATATATGTATATATGAAAAATATATCAAAAATGCAAGTGGGTATTCAAATGAAAGCTCTTGATGAGTATAATATCAGAATGAGCTTATATCTTAAAAAAATGTCAATAATTAAGAATTGACTTTGCTATTTTGTCAACTAATGATATTTTTGAAGATATAAGCTCATCTCGACATTGCACTCGTCGAGACCTTTCATTTGCGTACCTAATCAATTTTTCATATATTTTATATATTTATATATATTATATATATGTATGTATATATATGAAAAATATATAAAAATGCATGTGGGTACTCAAATGAAAGCTCTTGATGAGGGTAACATCGGAATGAGCTTATATCTTTAAAAACGTCAATAATTAACAAAGTACAGTGCAATTTAACAAAAGTAATTATTAAAAAATTTTAATTAATTTTATTTCCAATAATAATATAAATATCGTCAATTTATAATTTAAAAAACTTGAAACAAAAATGCATTGTCTTTTCTTGAGTTTTACTTTTGAATTCATAAGTTGGGTTCGTTTGTTTTGCTTCGAAGAAAGTTTTGTATAACAAAAAATAAATAGTTTTAAAATTCTTGTTCCATTTGTTTATTTGAAATATATAAGAGGATCGATACTATAACTCAAACTTAAACTTTAAATAATATGTACCGTTTGTAAATTTACATATTACAACTGATAACTTCTAAGTACTTGAATTTATAAAATAAATTCTATATAAAATATTTCTAAAATTTTCAATTTGCCCGACTAACAGAATATTAATTAAACGGGGAAACATTGAACATGATTATAATGATAATGACGATGATAGTTAATAATTAGAACGTTAAATTAATTAATTAGTGAAATTAGATTAAAGTGATAATGAAATTTCAGCGCTGATGGTAACTTTGAGGTGACCCTTGCCACAAAGGCAACGCTGAATTACACAGGCAGAGTGGATTGGAAACCACCTGCTATCTACAAGTCTTCCTGCGAAATCGACGTCGAGTATTTTCCATTCGACGAGCAAACCTGTGTCATGAAATTCGGATCCTGGACTTACGACGGCTTTCAGGTTTAAATCTCTTCTCTTATACATAAAACTTATTTGTTATTCCAAATTTATCAATAATATTATTCACCTTTAGAGGTAACATAAAGGCACCAATCTACGCTGGAATAAATTTTCCCCCTTGTAATTATTATGCATTGAATTTTTAATCATGCTGATAAAATTGATTGGGAATTTATTTTAAAATCCCCATCAGCGCTTCACGCTCTGTGTGCTGTTGTCAATTAGAATAATTTTACTTAATTCATTTTAATCTCTATCTTGATCGTCGATGAATATGTACACGGGTACACGTTGTTCTCTCAATAGAAATAGAAATTCCAGAACAATACCGGTCAGGATAAGCTGGTGCTTCTAGCTTCTTGCGGGAATCCTCATGCACCACTATCCTTATTCCTTACTCCCCATTCCTCCGCCTTCTCATCGATGCTCTTTACTCTCTTCTCTCTCTCTCTTACGTAATAATGAAAATATTCCAATTCCAAAGTTATGTCAAGGTCGGAATTTGCTTGAGAAATATCTCAATCCCATTGCGGAAAATTAAGGATCATACATGCTTCAGTGCTAGGATCAACAGATTAGTATGTCACTTATCAGCCGGGCCTTTAATTAATTAATCCTTAATATTAATCGCTATTAACTTTATAAAAATATAAACTTTTCCTTATTTTATAGCTTCTTTTTTAAATACAATATTTTTGTATAAATTCTCAGTTATTTTTTTTATATTAAACTCATTAAGAAAAAAATTTTTTTTGAAAAATTTTGCAATGTAAAAAAATAAATTTATTTAAAATTTCAAACAAATTAATTTTTTTTTTTACTAAATTAATCATTTTTTTTAAATAAATTTTTTCTCTCAATGTAGCTTCTTTTTTTTTTTATACAATATTTTTGTATAAATTATAAGTTATTTATATTGAACTCACTAGAATGATAAAAAAAATTTTTTTTGAAAAAAAATGAAGAATTTTTGTAATAAAAAAATTAATTTGTTTAAAATTTTGAACCATTTCTTAGATGAAAAAATAAAAAAATTTTTTTAGTAACTTTTTTGTTGAAAAAAAGTTTTTTAAAATTAAAAAAAAAAATTTTAAATAGACAACTTATTGCAAATTTTTATAAAAATTGTTTCTTCCCAAATCTATAAAATTTTATTTCAACAGGAAAAATTGTTTAAAGTTTAAAACAAATTAATTTGTTTTTTACAAAATTGCTCATTTTTTCAATATAAATTTTTTTTCTCAATGTAGCTCCTTTTTATATGCAATATTTTTGTTTATGCTGTACTTAGTATATAAATTATGCATACAACTTTTAGGGAATACTTGTTGATTTAATAAATAAATAAATAATTCAAAATAAAATACTAATTACAATCCTGTAAAATAACTGGACTAATTAACCCTCGAAATACCTACCTGTGGTATTCCATCAATCCGATCAGCAAAATAAGCGAAGCCGACAAGACTTTTAAGCCCCAAGATTAATTAATCTTCTATTCGGGTCGAAGCTAGTAAATTATACTGAAGAACTCTCGCTAGACCTTACCTTACACTTACGCTTACGGTAGCTTTAGTTTTTACTTTGGAAATTAATTAAACTTTTTTCCTTACACTGTCATGACACTGCAGGTTGACTTGAGACACATCGACGAAGTCCACGGTAACAATGTAGTTGACATTGGCGTTGATCTTTCGGAATTTTACACTTCTGTCGAGTGGGACATTCTTGAAGTTCCAGCTGTCAGGTAATCAAACCATTTTTACAATTTGAAATAATTAAAATTATTTCTTAAGCTAAGAAATGACCTTGTATTTTGTGAACTATTGACATTTTTAAAGATATAAGCTCACCCTGTCATTACACTCATCGAGACCTTTCATTTGAGTACCCACATCAATTTTTCATATATTTTATATATTTATATATATTATATATATTTATATATCAAAAATATATCAAAAATACATGTGGGTACTCAAATAAAAGCTCTTGATAAGTGTAACATCGGGATGAGCTTATATCTTTAAAAATGTCAATAATTAAAAACTGACCTTGCTATCTTGTCAACTAATGACATTTTTGAAGATATAAGCTCATCTCGATATTATATTCATCGAGACCTTTCATTTGAGTACCCACATCAATTTTTCATATGTTTCATATATTTATATATATTATATATATTTATATATGAAAAATATATAAAAAATGCAAGTGGGTACTTAAATGAAAGCTCTTGATGAGTGTAACACCGAGATGAGCTTATATCTTAAAAAATGTCAATAATTAAAAAATGACCTTGAATCTTGTGAATTATTGACATTTCTAAAGATATAAGCTCATCCCGACATTATTCTCATCGAGACCTTTCTTTTGAATACTCACATCAATTTTTCATATATTTCATATATTTATATATATTATATATATCTATATATGAAAAATATATCAAAAATGCATGTGGGTACTCAAATGAAAGCTCTTGATGAGTGTAACTTCGGGATGAGCTTATATCTTTAAAAACGTCAATAGTTAAGAAAGTACAGTGCAATTCAACAAAATAGTTTTCTTCTTTATAATCTAAAAATTTTTTAATAAAAAATTTAATCGCAAAACATTTAATATTTAAATAAAAGAAAATTTTCATCATAAAAAGCTTAAGTTTAACGTACTAAAGTGCAATAAAATTTTTATCTGATCATTTTCTTAGAAATGAAAAGTATTACACCTGCTGCGACGAGCCTTACCTCGACATTACCTTCAACATAACAATGCGCAGAAAAACGTTGTTCTACACAGTTAATTTAATAATACCGTGCATGGGAATATCCTTTTTGACGGTGTTGGTGTTCTATCTGCCGAGCGACAGCGGAGAAAAGGTTCGTATATATATATATAAAATTTACTATATTAAATATATACAATTCTAAAGTGTAAAGCATCCAGATATCCTATTATAAAATTCACGAAATTATTCATTCAATTTCCTCTAGAGAGTCTGTTCAACTCCAATATTATCCTTTCTCATTGTCATCGTTCAATCCGCCTTGTTCTGCGAGTTCAACGGCACTAAGTCTTGTTACCTCATACTCGTACACTAATAAAAGCCTGACCATTCTCATACCTCGATTTTACAATCCACACCCTGTAATAATAATTATTATTATCATTACTTCAACAATCATAGTAATAATACCGAGAACAATAGCGTAATTCCCGGCTCGCTACTCCGCTTCTAAGTGATCGAATATTCATTTTATGCCTTACACTTTGAAGATCGCGAGGAATAGGGAAGAAATTAGCCTCAAGCTTAATAGATCCTTTTTTAACTCCTTTTTTTTCTGGCAAACGTGAGCCGGAAGATAAAGTAAAAAAAATTTTTTCATTTAGAGTGTAAAAAATATTCAATTAAAATAAATTAGTCTTTGTAATGATGTATATCGTTTTTAATGATAACTTCAGGAAAAATTTATAAATTTTTTTTATTGACTTTATTTTTATGAAATTTATTAGAAAATTAATTATTTTTTTTTTTTTATACATACCCGTTATATTATGAAAAAATATCATATGTACTTAAATGGAAGGTTTCGATAAGTGTAACATCGGAATGAGCTTGTATCGTTTAAAACGTCATTATTTAATAAAATGCAATGAAGAATTAACATTTTTGTAAATATAAGTCCATTCTGATGTTATACTTATCAATTGAGTACCCACATCAATTTTTTATATATTTATATATATCATATAAATATATATGTTATATAATGTATAAATGGAAAATATATCAAAAATGCATGTGGGTACTCAAATGAAAGGTCTCGGTGAGTGTAACATCAGAATGAGCTTATATCGTTAAAAACATCCTTAGTTAACAAAATGCAATAGTCATCCCTTAATTATTGAAATTTTCGTAAATATAAGTCCATTTTGATGTTATACTCATCGATACCTTTCATTTGAGTACCCACATGCACTTTTCATATATTTATGTATATTATATATATGTATATATGAAAAATATATGAAAAATGCATGTGGGTACTCAAATGAAAGGTCTCGATGAGTGAAACATCGGAATGAGCTTATATCGTAAGAAAAATCATAAGCTAACAAAATGCAATGGTCATTACTTAATTATCAACATTTTCGTAAATATAAGCTCACTCCGACGTTACACTCATCGAGACCTTTCATTTGAGTACCCACATGCACTTTTCATATATTTCATATATTCTATATATTTCATAAATATCATATATATATGAAATATATGGAAAAATCCATGTAGGTACTCAAATGAAAGGTCTCGATGAGTGTAACATCGAAATGAACGAATAAGCTCAAAATTTCTAAATTTAAGACGTGTGTACTGGACAACGTCTGTCGGGTCCGCTAATTGTTTATAAAAAAGTATTCCTACAATTTCTCGATATCTTCATATTTAACTCGCAATTTAAAAAATTAAATTAATTATCAAATTAAAAAAAATTACTCTAATTACAGGTCAGTCTCTCAATATCTATCCTCCTGTCGCTGACTGTATTTTTCCTGCTGTTAGCAGAGATTATTCCTCCAACTTCACTGGTAGTACCACTGCTGGGTAAATTTGTATTATTTACGATGATCCTCGACACATTTAGGTAATAAATTAACCTAAAGACCCAAACATGGACATAATTGATAAATCGGTTAATTAATAAAATTAATTGCAGTATATGTGTGACAGTGGTGGTGTTAAACGTCCACTTTCGATCACCACAAACTCACGTGATGGCACCCTGGGTGAGACGGGTGTTCATCCACGTACTGCCTCGGCTGCTGGTAATGCGGAGGTGAAGCAATTATACACATTAATCTATTAATAATAACAATAATTAGTGGCCTAGGCTACTTGCATGATAATTGAATTATTCATCAAGTAGGAGCTTGAAATAAAAAAGTATAATTTTTCCATCTCAGGTATGATTTAAGACCGCAGTTCCAAATAGATCGCCGCAGCTTTGACCGGCAACGTGTGATGGTAAGAACGTGCAATGGTCTGGAAGTACGTGACCCGACGCGGTTTGCTGAGGATCCGGGAGCTGAATTCGTCGAGCCGCCCATGCTGTTCCCCAGTGTCGACTCACGAGATGAATTAAATCCGCGGTACATCAATTATTCCAGAACCCGTAGTTATAAAATGACGTTTATTAAACTCAACAGTTTTCATTCTCATCTCATAATAATTCATTTTTATTCCAGAGAGCTCGAGGCCGTTAATCTGGGCAGCGCGTGTCAAATTCATGGTTCACCGGCTAGTATACCGCCACCCCCGCAGCTTCCTACAGAGGATAGTGTTGATGCTTTATGCAAAACTTTAAATAATTGGCATCACTGTCCAGAACTTTATAAAGCTATCGAGGCGATACGATTTATTGCCGACCATACTAAAAGAGAGGAAGACTCTACTCGAGTATGTTTTAGTTTTTATTTTATTATTTATTTAGGCTGCATTCGAAAATTATCTCTAGATACGTAATTAAGGAGTTACCTTGTATCTTGTGAATTATTGACATTTTTAAAGATATGAGCTCATCCTGATGTTACACTCAATGAGACCTTTCATTTGAGTACCCACATCAATTTTTCATATATTTTATATATTTATATATATTATATATATGTATGTATGAAAAATATATGAAAAATTGATGTGAGTACTCAAATGAAAGCTCTTAATGAGTGTCACATCAAAATGAGCTTATATTTTTAAAAATGTCAATAATTAAGAACTGACCTTGTTATCTTGTCAACTAATGATATTTTTAAAAGTATAAGCTCATCTCAATATTACACTCATTAAGACCTTTCATTTGAGTACCCACATCAATTTTTCATATATTATATATGTATGTATATATGAAAAATATA